GACCCTTTGGAACGAGCTCCCCGTGGAGATTCGTACCCTCTCCACCGTCCAAGCCTTCCGCATAGCCTTGAAGAACTGGCTCGCCCGTCAGGCCTGGGGATAAGGATAGTTACCCCTCCCGAATGATGAATGTATGTTGCTTACTATTTTATTATATGTTTCTGTCTTAATGTTTGTATTCCCCCTTCCCGGTTTTGTGTGAGCCGCCCTGAGTCCCCTCAGGGAAAAGGGCGGCCTACAAATACTAATAAAATTCTAAAAAAAATTCTAAATTCTAAACCATACCCGGAAAAAGTTATTAGCCTCTATTCTGCTTAAAAACATCCAATAAAAAAGAATCCATCAGCTCTTTCAATAATTTATTTCACTTCATAGAATTAAGATATATTTTCTAATATTTAATTGGAATTTGCCTTCCTGTTGTTTAAGTTCATTAGTCTTAGTCATAATTCTTTGGGTAAGACATCTGAAAAAGGCATTTTTTTTTTGGTAAACGGAGTATGTGCCAGCAATATGATGTAACTGCAAAGAAGGCAAATGCAATTTCATTCTACATCAGCACAAATATCATTTCCATATCATGGGATAAAACTTTCTACTTTATTCTATTTTGATCGGCCATCACCTTGAATTTCTCGAGTTCTGAGCACCACAGATTCTTACCACTCTAAAACATATCAAATCTCCAGTTGGAACAGTTATCTTCTTGGGATGGTTGAATTGTTTACACAAATAAATCCTAGAACAGTTCAAGGTGTTCCAAACAAAATGGAACTGTTTCAACGTCATATCATACTAGAATATCTTTCAAAATGCTTCTGGACTGGAATATTTATGTCTGGAAAAGGCTGCTTGCCCTAAACCTGCATTAGCCAGGAGGAGGTTTGGCCCAATGCAGGGAGAAGAGAAATATTGAGATGCTATGAGAAACATTCCACTTTGGTGTCAATAATAGACTTGGTACATTCCTAGTTCAAAATAAATGGGAAAGAAAAAGAGAAGTGGAAAGTGGAACCTATTTTGCAAGAGATGGAGGAGGCTTCCCTTCATTAAATATATTTAAATAGAAACTATCATCAGCTTTGTTTTATTTTGGGATGTTTCAAGCAGTGTCTCTCAACCCCTGAGCGTCTAAGATGTGTGGACTTCAACTCCCAGAATTCCCATGCTGGTTAAGGAATTCTGGGAGTTGGAGTTCACCTATCTTAAAAGTTACCAAGCTTGAGAAATATTTCTTTAGATTCTTGCACTGAGTAAGAAGTCAGACTCAGTGGCTTAAATGGCTCCTTTTAAACTAAAATTGTATGAATTAATTGTTTGTTTCCAACAAACTCTGTAGCCTTAGTCTTCCTTTTACATTTAAGTAAAATAAGAAACCATTATTGGTGTAAAAAATACAAGCCTCTCTCTCTCCGGCATGGATGGAGACTTTTTTTCCAGCAACTTTTTCAGCATGTCTAAATTTTATAAATTTTTCATGTTCAGAAAGCATGCTCAGCTCTTTCATGCCTTCCTTTCATTAACAGCTGGCATTGTGTCCCTTCAAATTGCATCTTGAAAATTTCACTCTTAACAGAAAGCAGAGAAACAAAGGGGGTCTTGAAATGCTTGTGGAATAATACATATAATGCTAAAGAGGGGCAGACAAACTTTTTGGAACAGGATAAACAAACGATCTTGAAGCTCAGTAAAAAATTGAATTTAACTTCCATGGACTCAGTTTTAATAATTTTCATTAGATGAACACATCAATGTAAAAAGACAAAATTTTACCTTTGGCTCAGGCCGTCATAGACTGTTGGGAGAAAATTGCTTTGAGTGAAATTAAGTTTAATTAATAAAAGACATTCATTGCATTGTTGGGTTGTATTAATTCTGCCCGGGTGATGGTACACACAGCACAAGAGGAATAAATTAAAGTCCAGCCATGACAAAACAGATCCAAAATTGTGGACTATGGAAGAAAATCTTGTTGTTAGTCTGTTAGGTTCTTATGCACAGACTCAGAAAGCTAGCACCTCTTAGTTTAGGGTGAGAACTGAGGTTGGAAAATGTTCCTCATGGTCTCCTTTCTCATCTCATTAAGGCACCAGGTTAGAAAGCAAGAAGTTGTGAGTTCACATTCTGTCTGAAAAATTAAAGTCATCCCAACTCATCTTACAAGATTGTTGTGGGGAAAATAGGAGGAACAATGTGTGTTGGATATGTTTGCTACCTTGAGTTATTTGTAAAAATAATAACGGCAGGATACAAATGAATACATAAGTCAGTCAATCAGTCAGTACCAGTAAGTAAGTAAGTAAGTAAGTAAGCAAGTAAGTAAGTAAGTAAGTAAGTAAGT